GAGGGAGGGAGGGAGGGAGGGAGGGAGGGAGGGAGGGAGACAGTCAGAGTTCCCTATTCGCTTTTAAAAGCTTATTGGCTGCCCTTGGCCTGGCAGGAGGAAGCAATGGGCAGTCGGACCCATGAAGATTCGTGGGCATCCTGGTGGGCCTCTCTGATAGCTTTATGTTCTATGTTGTTTTCTCTTACAGTTTCAAAGAAGTTGGCACCAATTCCTCCCAAGGTCCCCTTTGTGCAGTCAGGGACTGTTTCTGATCAGCCCACTGGCCAGCCATCCCCAGTCAGCCTGTCTCCTACTCCACCAAGCACCCCATCACCCTATGGACTGAGCTACCCTCCGGGGTACTCCATGGCCTCTGGCCAGCTTTCTCCAGCCTCAGCTCCTCCCCTGGCCTCTCCCTCTGTCTTTACAAGCACTTTAGCCAAATCTCGGCCCACCCCTAAGCCCCGACAGAGGCCCACCCTGCCGCCTCCTCAGCCTCCCAGTGTCAGCCTGTCGGCTTCAAGTCCACAGTCCACAGAGCACCCCATGTTAGACGGCATGTCGCCAGGTGAAAGCATGTCTACAGGTAAGTGGGCTGTGGGCTGTCTGCAGGGCTCCTGTGAAGCTTAGCAGAGTGCACCAGAGGCAGGAGGAGCAGCATCACCACTGGCCACAAGCTAGCTCCCAGGCTGCTCTCCTTAAGCCTGCAGAGGAAAACTGTCCTGGAGAGCAGCTGTTGTGCAGGGGAGCTCATGAGACTCCTCCAACAGCTTAGGGATCTGAGTCCACGGTGTTTGTGAGATTTCGTCCTTTGGAGTGAGACCTTCAAAGAGGCTGGCATCAAAGCACAGAGGTGGTGTCACTGTCCCCCAGACAGAGCTCAGCTATTGAGCAGTGTACTTCTCTGGAAGATAGAGGCTAAGAACTAGAGAGTTTTCCTGAGGAGAAAAATAAGCCTTGCTAGGAAAATATATTTGCAGATGCATGTTACTTATGGGTCACCTTCAGAAAGACAGGTCTTCTCTAGCCACACATGTTTGAGGAAATTAGTCAAACCCACAATTGCTTAGCTGAGTTTTAGTCTAAATTCAAAACAAAGATGAGGTTGTCTTCCCAAGGACAATATAGTTACTAAACACTGTTGACTGTGGAAAAAAACCAAAATGGAGCATTTTAAAAATGTCTCCCAGTCACTTGCCTTATGTAAAGTCAGAAGCAGATCTCTGGTGGCTGCTAATGTCACATGGGCTCTTCCTTATTTAGGGAGTTAAGCATAGAGCTGGGCTGAGTCCTTGAACAGGTTCACTTCATAGGGCATGCAAAGCCTGAATACCACTGTAGAGCACAATCCCAGATAGCAGGTGTGGGAGCTTGAGAACACTGCAGACCCACAAATACAATCACATCATGAACTGTCACACATGCACAGCACATGCACACTGAGAATGCATATACTCTGCACACTGATTACACACACACCACCCCATGTGTGCACAGCACACACACACACACATACCACAAGTATGTACACCTATGCACACAGCACACATATGCATATTATGCATATCCAATGCATGTTTACACCACATACTCAGATGTACACACAGCACACACATATACATACATACCACACATACAGGGTCTTAGGATTCCTATTGTGGTGATAAAAACCACCAAGACTAAAAGTAACTTGGGGAGGAAAGGGTTTCTTTCACCTTAGAGTTTATAGTCGATCATCCAGTGAAGTCGGAAAGGAACTCAAGGTAGGAACTGATGCAGAAGCCATGGAGGGGTGCTGCTTACTGGCTTGCTTCTCATAGCTTGCTCAGCCTACTCTATTATAGCACCCCAGTACCACCATCTAGATATGGCGTCACCCTCAGGGAGCTGCGTTCTCACATCAATCATCAATTAGGAAAATGCACCACAGGCACCAGAGACCAATCTAGTGGAGGCATTTTCTCAATTGACGTTCCATCTTCCCCGATGACTCTGGCCCATGTCAAGCTGACAGAATTAGCCAGTGCACTATACTACATACATCACACCCCCATATACACACACCCCTTTGTATACCACATACATAGATTCACCATACCTGCATGCTTACTTAGCATATACATACATAATCACATATGGACTACATGTAAACATGCAATACACACATTACACATACACCAAACCTACATCATATACAGCACATATACCACACATACATACATACCTACAGATTGCATGAACAAATACATCACACATGAGGCATATACATGCATATACTCATACATGTAAGCCACATACCTACCTAAGAATCATGCTGGGGCATAATTCAGTGGCAGATCTTTTGCTCTACCTGAGTTTATCCCCAGCACACATATTAAGAAATCCACATACTCACATGCACCATGTGCCACAAACATACAAAGACCATCAACCTACCTGGATACAGTGGGACCTTGCATTAGGTATTACTTTCTTTCCCCCACCACATCATCACAGAACTTGGCATGCTGCATGAGATGGCAGCCAGAGTTTGTGGGGTCCAGCTCATGGGTGCCAGTCAGTGAAAATACTAGTCAAGTAGCAAGTGTTGCAGTATTATGGGGAAAAGCCATCTGGCAATCAGGCTTCGGTACTTTTGAAAGGGATGAATGTTGACTAGATAGCTGCCTTTTCACTCATTCTGTAGCACAGTCAAACCTAGGCAGTTTCCTGGGAGAGGCAGTCAGCAGTCCCACTCCTGTGAGTGCTGCAGGGGTATGTTACCCAGGCGAGCCCTGTGGGGAGGCAGCACCTGCTCCGAGTGGGTGGTGGCCAGAGGCAGCTGGCAGGGGCTGCCCCACTAGCACTCCAGCTCTGCCAGGTTTCCCAACCACTTCTAGACAGGGATACAAAGTAGCTCATGCTACAAGGCACAGGATGAGCAGCAATGTCACTCAAGGAAGCAGAAGAGAGCAGAATGACAGAAGTGATCAGTGGGTATCAACAAGCAAGGAGGGACAGTGCCTTGCAGCTTGTGAGGCATTTCGTGAAAGGTCACTTTGCATAGCTCAGGCTCAATGTCGTGACCTTTAGACAAATGACATACTGCCCAATTTCCCTGTTGTTTGAATGTTCTTTGGGCAGCAGACCATCATGTGTCCTGTATGTGTAGGTCTCTGACAGTGTAGAATTGTAGTCGTGTGGCCTATCTGGGACCATGCCATGGACAGTGATTTTTGTTACGTGTGTTTCGTCCTGTTTGTTCCTCTCTCCGAATCCTATCATTATGTTCTTGCAGCTGTGTGACATGAGTGGCGCAGTGTTGGATACGTGTGAGGGGGATTTTCAGGGTAAGCTGGCCCCAGCTCACCTCGCTTTACTTCCCCTAGCCAGCCCAGCCAGCTGCCTGGCCACCACCTATCCCACCAGCCCCTCCCTCACTGCATGTGGCTCAGACCCACCAAAAGCATGCCTCCTTCACTTTCTGCCTTTCCCAGGCTCAGGGAGGGCCTCTTGGCTTAGGAGCCTGTGGCTTTCTGAGATCACTGACATTTTTCTTTTCTTCTCATTAGAAGCTGGGAGACACACCCAGCAGAGGGGGCCTGGCCCTTCTTTCTACCCATGTCACCATCTTAGAGGCAGATCCCCTTTCCTCAAGTTAACAGTTTACCCTGATAACAGACCTGTTCAAACAGGCATAGCTGCTGGAAGCTTGTGTTCTGCTCAGTGACTGTTCTCTGCACCTCTCTGCTGAGAGATATGTCTGCAAGAACTCTCACCAGGTGCTGTTTGACACAGGGCCACTACCTTGGGTGGTGGCCATAGATTTGCACCAGCTGATCTAAATACGATTGCCAGTACTAAGGCAAAGCTTGGTAGTCCATAGGGCAGACCTGAGGTTCTGACACTCAAGTGTTTTACAACACATCTGGTCAGTGGTAATAGCTACTGACAGATGCTCTGTCCAACCCTGGGAAGTTTGGGGGAACTTTTATCAGTATTTACTTAGGTTTCCTCTCATCAAGAATAACAGATACTCAAACTTAAAAATCAGGCAACAGCATATGAAGCCCAGAGCACTTAGAGGATTTTGTCCTGCTGACTAACAGCTAGGCATCTGGTACTTGAGTCCCCTGAGGCTTCTCCCGTAAGTCCTGTCCTCTTGCTGAGTAACCCTTTTGCTCAGGCACCGCCAAGGTAAGGCTGAGACAGTCCTGTGCTCTCTGGGCACCATCTGAACCGCCGTGTTCATTCTTAATGCTGTTACCCTGATATGACTGCAGGGGAGCTTAAGCTTGTCCAAAGCCAGGCCTTCTGTGACACATCTGCAGGTCTGTATCCAGAGAGCCTGGGCAGGTTCCTGGTAGACCCCCCCACTCCCACCCTACCCCCACCTCCAGCAGCCCACCACCCACATGCAGAAGTCAGCCTTTAAAGCACTCTATGGTAACCACATCACACACTGCAGTGGGAGCACTTAGCACGGGCTGGGCCAAGTGTCAAACCCCAGATCTGCCCCACCATTGTGCAACCAAACAGGCTACAATGGGTAGAGTAGGGGTGTCCCAGTGCTCGTGTGTCTGTAAAATGTCTTTGAGGGCAATGTCCAAGTGTAATGCCTGTACACTCAGTTTGGTGCTCCTTATTTGGAACATGTTTTATTAAATTTTTAAAGCCAACAAAAAGCAAAGCCACCTTCTGAGTGACCTAGAGCTGAGTCCTAGGCAGGCTGGTATATTATCTGCTGGAATGCTGCTGCCAGCTAAGGTTGACACAGCTCACAGAAGTCTGGAACTGAGTGAAATGGGCAGAGAGGATGATACAACCAAGAGGGAAGGGTCCAGAGGATCCATCATCCTGACTCACTTCCTAGAGCCCAGGGCCTCACCAGGCTGGGCTCTCCAGGAGCTACCCAACTGAGGCTCCAGGACCACTCCCAGGGTGGTGTCCAAAGGGCTGGGTTCCCAGATGGTGACCCTATGGAGTTGTTTTATTTTTGCTGACTCCCAGATGGCAAGACACTAAACCTTGTAACTTCCATTACTTTCATTCTCCTGTCCTTGTCAGGATGACCTTTTGGTGTTCTTTGTCAACATGAATCAAAATGGGGAGGGGGTAGGGGTGTATCCTAAGAAAGATTCTGCCCTGCCTCCCTGAGCTGCTGACAGAAAAGTTTCTGAATGAGTACAGTGACTATCTCTGTAGACTTGATTCTCAGAAGATGTTACTGAGGCCTGTCTGCTGATCAGGCCTTGGGTAAAGAGGCTGAAAGATTAGAACAGGGCCTTGTCCCCTAGATAGGCTCCCAGGCAGAAGCAGATCAGACCCAGCCACACCCTGATCCTACAGTGCCCAACTTCTAATGAGCTAGCCTGAGCACACCCAGGCCAGCCTGCTTCCTATGCTGTCAGTCTGCAATTGGTCCCCTTTCACCTCCTTCTCTCTGCAGATCTCGTCCACTTTGATGTCCCCTCCATCCACATAGAGCTGGGGTCAACGCTCCGCCTGAGCCCCCTGGAACACGCAAGGCGGCACTCCGTGACTGACAAGAGGGACTCGGAAGAGGAGTCTGAGAGTACAGCCCTCTGATGTGGCCCACCCCGACACATGTACATACATCTATGGGCCCCGAGACACCACCCAGGGCAGTGCCTTCTAGCCTGCCAAGGATTTTCCATCAGCCCTTTGCTGTCATGTCCAACACCAGGGTGGAGTTGGGCAGAGGAAAAGCGCTCTCCTGTCCGTGTGGCCAGTGTTGGTGGTGCAGATTCTGTTTGTTCATTTTGGGTGATGATTCCAGCCTTTTTTTTGACCTTTGCCTTTTGACTTTGTGCCTACTTTGATCCATCTTTGGCCTCTATGGCAAGCAGCATCCACCTCTCCACTCAAGGGCTTGTCAGAATGCCCTTTACAGGATGAGGGTGCAAGAGAGTCCCCTTACTGCCTTGACTGGGACATTAGGTCCTGTAGCACACCATAAGGGCCACAGGGGAAGCAAGACAGGAGGCAAGACAGGGGCAAGAGAAGTCCTTGGCATTGTCTGTCCTCTGCTGCCAGGGTCCAGGCCAACCAGAAAGACCTTTCAGGCTACCCTTAATCACAGCTCCAAAGTAAACAGCTTAATACATCTACTTCTGACAGCTTTCCTTCCCCCATGTGACAATCTGAATTGAGGATTTGAACATAGATGGCCCTATGTAGGTCTCCATGTTCCCCAAACACATTAGGTATCTTAGAGCACTTTCCTATCCAGGCACCCAGCTTAGTAGGTATGTGGGGTCTGACACTCCTCTTCTGGAGGTTACAGCTGACTAGCAATAATTCTGTTTCCCAAAGCAGGTAGAGGGGGTGGTACTGGGCACCTGGCCCACAGCATGGCCTGCGTTGCTCACCAGCAGACCCTGCTCATCCTTCTCACCATGTCCCATCCAGCCCTGGGGCAAGGGCGCAGGAAGCCTGTTCACACTTTGGGATTAAGGGAATAAAACAGATCTGGGCCATGCATGCACAAAGTTTAAAGTTTGTTCCTCTGAAAATAGATATACCTATACATGATATATTTGTATATATGAAATCTATATTTGTTTAATTTGAGCCATTCAATCTAAACCTATGTACAGGTGTACAATGAAAACTTCTAAATGCTTAGTTATTTTTCCCAGCAGTGTAAACTCACCCTTCTCCGAGTGTGGGATCTGCAGACTTGACGTTACAGCTTTGCTCACTTCCTGGCAAGGGCAGTCCAGTCCCCAAATTTGTAACGGAGCCTGGGGGTTGAAGGTTATCTTTACATACATGTACAAACTGTTGTCAAGAGTAATGTTATTAAAATAGATTTATTAACCCTGAGCTTGGCACATGGTCTTGTTTCATTGAAGGCTGTGGGGCAGTAACAACATCCTGTGCTTCCTCAGGAAGAAGTCTGGAGATCGCCACCAGGGAAGGCTAAGTCCTTGCTGTCTCACACTCGAGTTTCTAAAGTGCTTCCCACGTTCTCCTGGGTAGGGAGAATATATAAATGTTAGAGTCAATTTTGAACACCTTCCATGTTTCAGTCACTAACCTGTTTTCAGATCCAATAGGCATCTAGCCCAAGGTGACATTTCTTCATACTCTCATAGTGATTTTCATTCTCATGGTGGACCAAGAACACAACAGCCTCCACAATCCTTGCAGCTACGGGAGCATGCAGGCCTCCCTGGGTAACCCAGCCCACAGAAGACCCCACACTGAAGCAGGATTCCAAACTCGAGCTTTATTGAGTCTGAGTCCTTGCAAATACTATTCTTGGAGCCTGGGACATATACACCCAGTGTCACTTGTAACATGGCTTGACTCTGGCATGTAGAGAAAACTCCTGTGCTAGTGAGTAAGGGGCAGACACCTCAATTTCCATGACTTCTTTAAAGACTGGCTTGCTGTCTTCGACTGAGTAGTCTCCTGTCCTGCCACTGTGTTCTCTCCTCCAGGCGTCGGAGGCACCTGGCAGATGGGTGCTCCCCGAGCCATGGCCATGGAGGACTGCATACTCTGATTCCATGCTGCCTCCTGGCTAGTTGTGTGCGCTGGCTCCCACCAAGATGACAGATGTGGCTTCCACACAGGGCAGAGAACACAGCCTTCAGTCCAGGATGGTTTAGACCTTCACTGGGCTCTGACCTTCTTGCTCTGTGGGCTGTGTGGTCCCTCTGTGTGGGCCCGCTTCTGTTGGGGTTCTCTGTTCTCCAGGCTGTCTGCCTGCTGAGTTAGGAGGGCTGCTCGCACCAGCCTTAGCTCCCTCTTCTCCTTGCGTTCCACCATTTCTTCAATGTCATCTGCAAACAAGGCCTTCAGTGGGGGAATCAGCTTGGGCACTGTTGGGAAGTCTTCAAAGCAGACCTGGAAGGACAGGACAGAGAAACACTGAAAGAGTGTGCAAGCTGGAGTGTGGGGTAGGACCACTCCTCCTTGCTTGTATACCCTCAGGCCAATGGACCTTAGCTTAAAAGAATGCTATCTAGAAGGGAAGCATACATAGTAATGAAGAAGGGCCAATTCCCCACACCTAGACTAAGGTCAGAGAGACCAAAGGGAAAGGAAACACAAAGTCTAGATGTTTCTGTCAAGCTCCTAACAACCAGAGCTGGCTCAAGCCCCACTTTATCGTTTGGGAAGGTGAACCGAGCCCTTGCCAGCCCATCTCTACTACTCTCAGGGACTAGGCCCTGCCCCACCCCACAGGTTTGTGCTATAGCTGCAATGGGAATGGCCCAGGCTTGAGACATTATGGACCCTCCAGGGACCCCAAGAGAAGGATGACCCTTCAGGAGCAGACTTTGTCAGTCTGCTTTTGGTTACACCTAGCTAGTGACAGACAAAGCTTCTCCCTTTAGTGGCCCTACGCCATAAAAGAAGCATAGACTGAGGGTCAGTTTCTAATTTGGCCCTGCCCCTCAGAGCCCTCACAGTCCACTGTGACATACAGACCTTCATGTGGTCAAAGGCGATGCCAACTTTCTCATTGAAGTCAGGGCTAAAAAGGGGGATCTTGGCGTACCGCTGACTGAAGTGGTTGAGCATGATGAACTGGGCATTCATCCGCATCCCCACATTGATAGCCTGGGAGGTAGTACTGTAGCAAAGAAGAAAGCAAGAACTAGACTTGGGGCAGGAGTCAACAAGACTTCCCTTCCCGTGCTGACAACACCAAAAAGGCTAGTAGGAGTCCTCAGAAGGTTATTAAGCCAGCAGAGATGCTCCTGAGGGCCAAAGCCTGCCCACACGTCTCAAGGAAGGCCTTGCAGTGCGTGCTGGCTGTCAGCTTGTCAGGATGAACCCCTGAAAAGGTCTCTTCTTAAAACACCCTGTATTCAGTCATGACCCCACTTTTTCCTGAAGTGACAGTTTATTCCAGCTGGTTGGTTCTCTTAAAAACCACATGCCTCACCAGAGAACCCTGATATTCAAGAACAGAGGCAGAGTGCCCAGGAGAGCTAAGGTGGGTTCAGGAAATTACACAAGCCTGGAAGAAAGCCAGCCAGTCCTCCATGGCTGTGGGCAGCAGCTCTCTGCAGGGGTGAGGGAGGACTGCTTAGCTTTCAGTTGACAAGAGAGGGTGGAGAGGACGAAGCAGCCTGTCTACCTGTGCGTCTTCTCTACTGCTTCCTCTTCCAAGCCGTCCTCCAGAGTGGCTTCATGTATCAGGAGGGTGGCATTCTTCCCTGGACAGGAACATGAACATCAAGGAAAAGTCTGATTGAGCAGCATATATGCCTGGGATCTGCAGCCATGTTCTGACTCAAATACTCAGCTCTCTTGGTCCTATGTGTCCTCAAGACAACAGCCAGGGGACAGACTGGATAAGAGCAAGTCTGTGTGACGACATCACCCCCCCCACACACACACACATTTGCACACACCTTGCACATGCCACGTGTTCCACGCATCTCTTGAGGCCCATTTCCCTCACTTACCCATCTGGACCAGAGCCTCACAGGGCATGGTATCCCCCGAGTAGACAACTTTCCAGCCAGATGAATGTACCATCGCACAGCCAAAAGCATGCTTGCAGTGCCGTACCAGGCAGGTCTGAAACTGAGGAAGCAGAGGTGGAGGGTTCAGGCCTCTACTCCCCACCCTGCCTGCCCTCTGTGGGTTCTGCACCAGGGCCACTTACTTCTTCTAAGTCACATGTTTCCAACAGTAAGCTGATCAGCCTTTCAACTGGGGGATTGGAGACCTCTGCCCCTTTCTGAAGGCATTTGGCAGGAATCATACTAAGAGAAGACAAAAGCATTTGAAAAATGATAATGAACATGTATTTTAAAAAGTCATTTACCACCTGCAATCAACACTTCTGTTCTCTGGATAAGAGCCTTCAGTGGTTCTGAGAATCATGATTTTAGTCCAGTAATGAAGACAGGAAAACTGATCAAATGACAAGAGTTGGCCACACATCCAGCCTATCCAGCTCACTGCAGGAGACTCAACAAACACTGCAGGTCACAAGCAGCATCTTTGAGAAGGGCTCCTTCTCCTCCTTCCCTGGAGGTGAGGCTAGGCCATCCCTGCCCTGCACCACCTGGCTTGTATGTCTGTGCTGGCAGCTGTTTACGTACTTGACCCTGGAACTGTCAGCTGCAGAGACTGGCTAACCATGGTGGTGCACAGCTGCAGTGAGAACTGGGACACTTATGCTCCAAGGGCATAGCTCCCAGGACTTCTGCTGCCACCCAGTCAGCTGGGGTCGGAAAGAAGGCAATCGTAGAAGGCAATAGCCTGGAGCCTGGTGCACATAGTGCTCACCTGATGTGGTGCAGAATCTCCTGGCACTGGTTGTGATACTGCTGCAGCCAGGCCCTGAGCTGGGTAGGTGCCACTACTAGCAAGGGCTGGAAAGGTTTCCCCAGAGACGCCTGAAAAAAAGATCCCCGTACAGTTAATAAGGGGACTTCCCAGTAAAATGGTTTGAAATGAGTGGTAGGTATAAGCAATAACGAAGCAGACAATTACCAATGTCAGTCAGGTGCCTCACTTACCAATGCATGCTCTCTCTGCAGCAAGATATTCAGCAAGCCCTGGGGAGGGGAGCACAGGTAATGAGCCAGGCTCAGTCGTCATCCCCACAGCTTAAGGCTCAAGTCCCTCCCTACAAGTGGTTCCTATCTTACTGAACCTGTGTTACAGGGTGACATATGGGTGGCATATGCTGACTAGTGACTGAAATGTTACAGGCAGAAAAACAGCTGTGTTAGGAGGGCAATGGGGTAAGACGTAGGAAGCCTGAAAGATCGAGCTCTGGATGGTCCTGCTGGGTCAGTCTGTGAGTGAAGCAAGTTGCATTCTGCAAGAAATGCTGAGTAAACTCAAAAGTTTGGTACTAGAGGGAAAGAAGCCCAAGGGGATAGCACCTCCACGTGCTGATGCCTGGGGTCCCACACTCACCGTGTGGTGATCTGCATGCAGGTGGGACACAAACACAGCAGTAAGGTTGCATAGGACTCTGTCTATTTGCTGTCCATAATGACGGCACAACTGCCCAAAAGTGCCTTCTCCACAATCCAGCAGCACAGACTTCTCAGGGCTGCAGAAAACAGTCACCAACAGGCTTTAATCTAAATTTTCCAGAATGGCATTGTTGCAGACTAGACAACAGAACAGGCAACTGTTGCAACTAGAACAGGCAGCAGCGGTGGACACCAACCCCCTCTTCCGAAGCCTGTCCTTCGTGGAGCTCATATGAAAGTCAGCTAATTAAACCACATGGGTCATTTTAGACCAGTCTGTCTTCTCTATATAAGAGAGAGAGCCAGGAACCCTGAAGCCTTTAAGGATGTGCATCAACACAATGCTGAGTATCAAAAACAGAAAAAGAAAAGCAGACTATAGACTGGGAGTCTGCCCCCACAGAACACTTCCGCTTCCTCTGAATGTGCTACACTCAGCTGAGAGTGCCAAAGACAGCAATACATCACAGGAGATGACTCCCAGTTCCCGAGGGACCCTGGTCCTCAAACTATCTTGAGACAGGATGGGCTTCATGAAACTTCTCTGGCGAGGTGGCTAGAGTAACTCTCACAGCTGTCTGCTGGGCAGGTCTCAAGTCCAAGTTCAGCAGTCTAATGCAGGGGCTCTACTATCAGGTAGACAGACAAAGGTATCCCTCTGGCTTCCTTCTTCTCTAAAGGAAGCCACAAAGATCAGAAGGGCCACACTCATCTAAAGACAGTGACTTCCAGGGGAAAGCCTACATGAGGAAAAAAAAACAGACTTTGTTCACCTCAACAAGGGTACCAGGTTCAGTTCAGGGATCAGAAACCAGAAGTCCTAAATAGAGGCCAGCCAATGATAACCTACCTTCGTAAAGAAGT